TTTTTGGGGAAAAATATTACACTAAATATGCATGGATTGTAAGACACATCCCAATTTTAGAAATGTTAAAATGTGAAAAAATAGGTCACCAAGAGGGATACAGGATAACATAATATTCTGCGTGTTTCCCCATCATTAAACCTTTTAGAACCATGATATTGATACCCCACCATTTATTGAACCATTTCCTTATCATTGGCCACTTAGGGTGTTTCCAGGTTTTCACTATGACACATGACACTGCAGGGACCATCTTTGTATATGAATCTTTGTTCTCTGGCCTGACTGTTTCCTTATAATAAATTCCTAAAGAGGAATGGTAGGGTGAAGGGTATGGACATTTTTGAGGTTTCAAAAAAAATTATTTTAATTAATAAAGTTTGAAGAGCAGTTTTAGGTGTACAGAAAAGTCGACTGGGAAGTAGAGGGAGTTCCCATATGCCACCTCATTTTTAAGGCTTGGGGGGTATGGGAAACTACCCCATTTTCCTCTCACCTCTTGACTGATAAAGTCTTTTAAGTCAGAGAATGACAGGACCCAGGAGGATCTCAGAAAGATGGCTGACGGGAGGAGGACTGGGAGGACAGGCAGAGAAGCAGCGGAACCAGTTAGGGGGACACTGGTCTGTCCCTTAGAGCAACAAAAAAGCCAAAACAAAGGATTCTGGGATGAGGGGGAGGGAGTGCAGTGTGGGAAGATGAGGCAACATGGAGTCTAGAGCAGGGATGAGCCCCGAGATTCAGAGCACAGGCTTTAGGGACCGGAGTCCAGAAGCTGCCACCTGCTGGCAATAAACAGGTAATATGTCTTCTCTGGGCCTCTGGGTCCTGACCTGCAGAATAGGGCTGATCATGGGACCTCACACCTTGAGGAGGTAACTGTGAGAATTAGGTGCATCTGTGTCATTAGCCCAGTGCCAGGCCTTCGTGGACACCCAGTCAGCTGTGGTGATGAGGAGGTGGAGGAAGAATTCAGGGATCCGTTAGCCATCTCGTGCGGCCCTGCCTTACACTGAGCTGTGCCGACCTAGTGACACAAAATGTTCTCAGTACAGCTGTCAATGCTTTGGCCTCCTCACATACTTGCTTCCAGTTGGCACTAGAACAGGGGGTCACTTTTGTCCAAGGTGGCGTCTTTGTAGAGTGGTTTCTCTCAGTATGGATGCCCCAACCTCGGTCACAGAATGGCCATCACTCTCTGCTGCCTTCCACAACGGGCCTGTGGCCTGAGGGACAGCCACACCTATAGAGAGATGTCCCAGAGCCCAGGGCAGCTCCAGCAGGCAGGGTTGAGGGGCGGAGCGTGTTGGGAATGGAGTCAGAGCCTAACACCCCTACAACACCAGTGGCCCTGCTTTCTGGTCCCCTCGACTGAATCCATCTTTAACTCTGTTCTTGATCCCACTACTAGACCATTCATTCACTCATTCATTCATTCATTCATCTGAAAAGGGGGCAGAGAGAGGACTCAAAGTCCTTTCCTAAGCAAAGGGAACAACAGAAACTATTCACTCAACCTTGTTCTGTGACCTTGGGTAAGGCCTTTACCCTGGGACTCAATTTTCTCTTCTGTATAATGGGGGTAGTGTGCATTCAGATTTCTTGTGAGGAATAATAAATGAATGTGTGTAACCTGGACAGTCGTGCCTGGACAGGAGTCAGCGACCTCACTTCCTGGCTATGGCCATTCTTATGGGGAAGCCAACATACTAGGAAAGGAGCTCCTAACCTGGGGTCCAGAGATTTAAGGGGGTCACACCTCCTCCCCCAGAAATTGGAGCTAAATTTTGAGGACATACTGGCTTTTCTAAGGAACAATTTCTGGCTTTCCTCAGATTCTGAAAGAGGCCTGTGGCCCCCAGTAAGCTAAGAACCTACATCCTGGGGCTGGGCCTGCCACATCCAACACGGGCCGACCTGGGGAGGAGTGGCCGGCATGGAGGAGAGCACAGGGGATGGCTGTCCTGCCTGGGACTTCCTTCTACAGGGCCCTCAGGAGCTCTCGAAGCTCAGCATTGGAGGGACAAGCTTTCCTGGCAGCACTACTCTTTTCCAAGTGAAATCTTACAGGGAATTCCAATATATGCCCAAAGCACAAGCAGTAAAGGAGGATTCCTCTAGGAGTCCAATATCATGGATAATAATA